AAGAGTAGAAGCTGTTAGCGTATATATATCTCTTGATTGTATGAATATATATGTCTTAGGTGTCTACGATTATGATAACATTGTTAATAATTATCAATAACTGTTAGTGTTTATACGGGGTCTCGTATATTTTTTATTAATCAATTATTAATCAATAAAGAGAGAATTCTCTACAGTATTTTTAGTTTCTAACATGGTATCAGAGCCATAGGCTCAACCTCATATCCGAGGTGTGAGCTCAGATATGAGGTTGTCGGATTTGAGCTCGGCTTCAGATTCGTTTCGACTCTCTGTCAAACAACTGCACCCTTTCTCTCTCTTGCAAAATAATAATAATAATAATAATATGGTCTGATCACTGTGAAAGGTCCTAGGAGAAATTAGGGCAGGAATCAGTGGCTGCCCTAATGTTTTTGTGTGCAAAATAAGATTCCTCATTCGTTTTATCTGTCATTAATATGGGCTTCACGCTGCATCTCATCTTTTGATCCCTTTACAAGCCATCAATCCTATCTCTCTAAATTATTCGGTTTCGATTTTCTCTGAATTTCCTTACCTTTGCATCCATGGTGCACTGTTCAAATTCAATTCAATCCAATTGAGGGCTTCGTCTTCTTTTTCGATCTCTTCCCCCTTTGCACAAAAACTCCAGCTCTCCTCTTTGTCCATGATTGAATAAATCAGCACTTTCAGTTTAGTGAGAGAAACTCATAAACCAAGGAAGCACTGCCAAATGCCTCAGATTCACTTTCAACTCATCTGTTATCTGCAGAGTCGTGTTTCAAAACTCTATGCAAAACAACATTTGTCTCTGTTTTGGCCTGTGTTCTGGACTGTGAGTTGCTTAATCTGTCTCGGACTGCAAATTATTGAATCTGTCTCGGATCCATACCAAGTTCTGTTGGCTATTCCAAGTGGCATTATGTGTTTATTGTTCAAGCAATCTGAGCATGGAGACCACTGCTTCTATTGGTCATGCCATGCACGTGAAGATTTATAGTTCAAACTCATTCGTTTATGCACGTAAAGATCCAACTTGCTCGTTTATGCAACTCATGATTGAAACTCCATCTGCTTGATGTCAAAGCATCTTCAGTTTGAGAGGAAATGTTAACATATATTTATATATATCTTGATTGTATGGGTACATATATCTTAGGTGTCCAAGATTATGATAAAATTAGTTAGAAATTATCAATAACTATTGGGGTCTATCTAGAACCGTAATTAGCCCGTATATTTATACGGGGTCTTGTATATTCTTTATTAAGCAATTATTAATAAATAAAGAGAGAGTTATCTACAGTATTCTGAGTTTTTAATAGAGACAAATGATGATCTCTCTCTCATCCATTCCAATTTCCTGACAACCTACGTCACTCCTTTCTCATTCTCTATACACATGTATTCACTCTATCATGTGCTCTTTCCATGCAGTGCTCTCTCTATAACCCATATCACCTTTCCTTTTTTTGAATGGCAACCCACATTATAGACTTTATCTCACCCATTTGAATAAGGAAAAGAATATAGTAAGCTGTTATTTTACTACAAGGAAGTCACAATTGCTCTCTGACTATCAGACTCAGACGTGAAATCAGGTGGTGATTGATAGGGCTCAGAGTTCTTTATTTTATTTTTTTGAATTTTGTGACATATTCCAAACTATCAAATTTCACATATGAATTGTGATCTCTGTATATAAAAAAAAACAAATGTTCCTATAATATACAATCCCTTTGAATGGTTCTCCTTTATTGGGCAACTTTATTTAAATTTAGATCTAGTATCTCTTTTTCGAGTTCATTGTGTCAAACAAAAGCTTGTGGAGCACGAGATTCTTATCCACAATTTAAACGGAGATCAGCTATGTGATTTTCGGGATGCTTACAATGATTAATGACATGCTTTTGTTTAATGAAGAAATTAATAAAGAGTATATAATAAGACCAGTGCTAAGAAGTCATAATCGTACAGTGGATAATTAAAAGTAGATGCGAAATCAAGTGGTTATTTATGCCCAATGAACAATATTCAAATACTGTGCCATATCTCATTATGTCGGATATTACATCTGACAAGTAAATGGCGATTGTGACATTCTACCAAAGTAAATGATATCCTAGTTTATGTTCAATTAAAGGATGGGTGTGGTTTGTATAGAGCCTAGGGTCTAAATAGAGCCTACTTTCAAATAGTATTGAGAAATATGGTTTTAATATTGAAAATCTTTGTGATAGCTTTAAAATATATTTTATATTTATTTATAGAGTTTAAATCTTTAAAAATAGTATAGATCGACAGATCTATGAAAGCGTGAAAATCTTGAAAATTGACTGACCAAAAATGTGTTACAAAATACACTATTTTCAAAACTTAAAATCCATTTTTTTCTCATGTCTATGCATATCCATGTCGAGGTGATCAATTTGAAGATATTTGGGCATCAAAATAACCTCTTCTAGTGAAATTTATGCATATCCATGTCGAGATGATCAATTTGAAGATATTTGGGCATCAAAACAACCTCTTCTAGTGAAATTTTTGATGTAGGCTCAAATTTGATTGTTTAGAACCTCGGCTTTATATAAACTTTTTCTCTCTTAAATGATATCCTAGTTTATGTTCGGCCAAACAATTTTACATATAGATGCAGCTTCTATAAGGCTTAGGCTTTATGAAAACGAAATAAAGCCTCACCTCGAATTGTTGTTGGGAAAGCCCATTGGGTATCGGAAATCACCAAGATCAATTTTTAATACCGATTATGAAATTTGAAGGTAAAAAAAATCTAGTAGATTTATAATGCTTATTTTGTTTGACGCTCTAAATAATGTGTTCCAACATACACTATTTTTAGAGTTTGAAATCCTACTTATTTTCACAACCATAATTGTCAAGGTTAAGATGATCTATTTGAAGGTTTTCCGATGCCAGAACTACAAGCACACCCAACTAGATTTATATTTTCCAAGAAACTCTTTAGCTATTGGTAGGATTCAGACTTTCTATCTCTCTCTCTATCTAATTGACAAAACATAAGGGTAAGATTGGGAATTTCGATATTTCGAACATATTGGTAAAATTGACAAAACATATTGGTAAGATTGACAAAACATATTGGTAAGATTTAGAAAATGGGAATTTCTCTCTCTCTCTCTCTCTCTCTCTCTCTCAAAATTCATCTCACAAGAAAGACCCTGAACCCATGTTTGCTCTTATGTGTATGATGGAAACAACCCAGGGATACACAGGAGAGATCAATCACTCATTCCGTTTGACTGGTTTCTCAAAATAGAAAAATGGTAGGCTACACCATTGAGGAACCGAGTCTTGAAAAGTCGAGAAATATCCTAGAAATCAAGCAATGTGCTTCTCCTTAACCGAGCCCGTCTCCTTGTTGTGCTAAAAATCTAGAGAGGTCTCTTAAAGAGGGGGAGAGTAATAGTAGTTTTTGACAGATCCAATATTAATTTTCTAATTTACTGATGTATGCACCTCTGTATGTCTTCACTTTTTGCAACCAAATAGATCCTTTTAACCTTTGAATGAAATGCAACTTGTCAAAAGAAATAAAAGAACAAGTAACTCAACAAATTAAAGCAGAAGAAAGAGGAATAGCAAATGGTATTTGGGTTTTGAAAATTATGAATATCCCCAAAAAAGGAACTTTCTAGACATTGTAACCCAATATTTTTAGTCACACCCACAACCTAGTCACTAATTTTTCTTAATTTTTAAAAACTAAACTACCCTTCCCTTCCCTCACTCCCTATCATCTCTCTCTACCTGCCCTCTCTCTCTCTCTACCCACCCTTTTTCTCTATCTCCATCTCTCTCTCTCTACCAAGTAGAAAAAAGAGAGAGGATAGGTAGAGAGAGAGATTTAATTAGTAGAGAGTAAGGGAGGAGAAAGGTAGATTAGTTTTTAAAACATTTATTTTTTAACTTAAGGGTAAAAGCAAAAAAAACTTAAGGGTAAAAGCAAAAAAAATAAAAATCAAATAAAAATAAAATAAAATAAAATGAATGGGTTATAGGTGTGACACTGAAAGTATTAAGTATAGAATATCTACAAAATTCATTTTGAAAAGGTATCTATAATTTTCCCTTTGAATAAAGACATTGAATTAATAATAAGTTTGACATAAGAGTACACATATTTTATTTTTAAAATTTTCAAGTATCTAACATACTATGTTTAAAGAAAGGAGGATTACCAAGAACTGTAAAGTACACAATAGAGGAGCACAAGTAACTATGGGTGCGGTTTATATTTGAACCAACTCAAGAAACCAAAGTGACGGGCACTTCCAAACCCTGTCACAAGGTATAATTCCAGCACCATAAACTCTGACGACAGCCTGAAAGTGTTTCCACCCCTTACTGTGAAATCTTAAATTTCCAAAAATAGTGTAGATCAAATAGATTTATAAATACTTGAAAATTTGACGGCATAATAAAATGTTACTAGATACACTGTTTTAAGGATTTCAAATCTTTTTTTCTTTTTTTCATATCCATACATTTCAAAGCTGAGAATATTAACTAGATGGTCTTCCGGACATCGGGGCAATCTTTTCCAATGGGTTTTTGAGATGTGCCTCACTTCGATGAACTATGTTCAACAAATGTGAAAACCTCTACATATTGGGGTTCTCTAGTCTTCAGGGGGAGAATTGTGCATAAAGTTCCCGAAGAGCCATATGAATATGACACTGTATAACTAAGCATCTTTAGAACTTGGCCTAGAAATTGCGAAGATCAGATAACATTCCAAGTAAGTTATCAATGTTATGTATGGCCTCCAACACAATGTCTAGTCGAGTGAAGAAACTAGACATGTCCAGAAAAGGAATGCAATTTTTGCAAAATTCCATTATCAGTCATAAAATTATGAAATAAGAAACCAAAAGCTAAAAACTTCAAATTGCTATGGTTCAACACTGATGACTATGGAAACAGAGGTTTCTATAAACTATAATTATTGAAGAGATGCCTTAAGTTAACCATTTTCAACCATTAATAAAGAATCATCTTTTAAGTACATTTACATCATCGTCCCTGAACTCCCTTCCAACCAAAAACTCTCAATTGGGCAGTCAACCTTTGCTGAATGATAGGAAAAAGCAACAATTTCTTTCCGATATTGGGATTGAGATAAGAATGCAACAGTCAGGCAAAAGATCAAGTAAAATCGCATACCAAATTGAGCAGAAAATCGACAGAGATGACAAGGACCAAAAACATATAGCTTAAGAAGAAGAGCAGCACCAACGTCTAATCCGTGTCTCAGGTTCACTACCATCCCCTTGTAAGATAAGAGTCTTTCCATCCCCCAGCCTTGTGTCCACTCTTTGTTGCTCTTGAGAGAGGAAAACTTTCCTGCTGAGTATGTTGTAAATCTCTTTGACCACAGTCAGGAAGGCGGCAGACACATTTGATGAATCAAGGGCAGACGTTTCCATGAAGAACAAACCCTGGGCCTCAGCAAGGACCCTTCCCTCCTCAATGCTTACTTCCCTAGCATCCTTCAGGTCACACTTGTTGCCCACCAGTATGGTCACCACATTCATGTCTGAATGACCTGCATTTGTATGTGGTCTTCATTCATTAGCATGTGCAATCCAAGGGAATTGAAATACTAAAATTACAGTGTGGCTGGTCAGTTAATTTTATTTTTTAGTTTTATCCTTGGTTGATCAGTCATAATATCATCTATTTTCTATCTTTCTTCCCAATCACGACAGTGAGCAGACTGAGAGAATGTTTGAGAGAGAGAGAAAGAGAGAGAGAAAGAGAGAGTAACTTACTGTGGAGTTCATTGAGCCATCGGCCAATGCTATCAAAGGTTTGGCGCCTGCTGATGTCATAGACCACAAGGGCCCCAACTGCACCTCGATAGTAGGCAGATGTGACTGCTCTAAATCGTTCCTGGCCTGCAGTGTCCCAGATTTGGGCCTTTATCTCTTTGCCCTCAATGTCGATGGTCTGAGTTTGGAACTCAACTCCGATAGTTGATTTGGAGTTGGGATAGAATTCATTCCTCGCAAACCTCGCAAGAAGATTTGATTTGCCAACCGCAGAATCACCAATTAGGACGATCTTGAAAAGGTAATCCTCACTCTGTTCGTCCTCCCCTCCTAAAGACATCATTTTTCCTCTTCAATGGCTCCCTCTCTCTCTTGTTATATTATCTGCACATGCAGAGAAACAACAGATTGATTCTCCCTCTCTGGATGGAAACCAAACTATTCAGAAAGAAAATAGAAACCAGATAATTTGACCGTGCAAACCGGAAACCCATTTGCTTACTTCTAGGCAGATATACTATTCAATTATGAGTTCTGTATTGATCTAGTATTCATGCCACCTGTTTAACAAACTTTTGTCATGAATTTCTTCGAAGTGTGAGGGGATCTCATTTTTTATTGCATTTTCCTTTCTAGCAAGTAGTCATAGTTGATTCTGAAAAAACTCATCCTGGATCGGTGCTGTAACCCACATTCCACCCAAGCTTATCCCCATGTCACATGCACAAACTGACATCCATAGGCACATGGTCCCATGCATCCACATATGCAAATTAACATATATATCTAAGTACATGCCAAGATGTACAAATACAGATATGGACGTGGACGTATATGTGGGAAAGAGGGGATAAGAGTAAGACTCAGCAATTTCCTGGAATCCAATACCCAGATACAGCTGCAGGAAGCCCATCCAGTTTAACAATCCCTATATGTTATAGCTCATATGCCACATTTTGCATTCATTCTACACATTTACACTGATCAAAAAAGGGAAAAAAAAACTACACATTGATACAGATGTATATCATAGCATAAGGCACAACTTATTTCTTATACATGTGGTTTTTATATTTGTATTATTTTATTCTTACAAGTATCCTAAGGGTATCCAGTATCGATATCAGTGTTGTATCTTGCTGACCCAGATACATTAAGCATGCAAAAATATTCAGGTGTCATACGTTACATGCACATCTATGTACATTGATACAGATGTATATCATAGCATAAGACAACTTATTTTTATGCATGTGGTTTTTTTATATTTGTATTATTTTATTCTTACAAGTATCCTAGGAGTATCCAGTATCCATATCAGTGTTGTATCTTGCTGACCCAGATACATTAAGCAAGCAAAAATATTCAGGTGTCATAGGTTGTATGCACATTCCTTTTTTTCCTTTTTTTTTTTTGATACAAAGAGTTCAGTCTGTAATTTATCGAGTACAAATAGAGGTTACAAAAAATTTCAGCCTCAGATTTAAGGGGGGAAATATTTGCAAGATAGTTTAGGTTCCAAAGATGTGCCACTTAGACTATATCGGGAAATACCACCAACCCCAAGGGGCCCAGGGTTTGCCAGAGGGATTCCATCAAAATTAAGTTTGATGGAGCCCTCCTCCGTCCGTAACCACAGCCCAGTGCTATTTATTGTCATTTGATTGGCCCGAATAATGTTCGACCATTGCTGTATGAAACCAACCGAGGACCAACTCTTCAATTCAGGCCTGTTTCGAGCCTGACTGTGGCCAGGATGTGCTCTTTGACACCATCTAGTAAGACTGTCAGCATTCAAGGATTCTTCTATTCCTTTCAAACCATGTATTCCAGAACAGTGCTAGCAATGAGGCCATCCGTGAAAACAGGCCAGTCTTAGGGGGAGGTGGATAGTTATAGGCTGCAAAGAGTTGGTGGACTGCATGTGGAGCCACCCTAGTCCAACCAAATGCTGGAGAATAGCAGCCCAAATGGAGTAGGTGAAATGACAGTGGATGACTAGATGGCCTAGGTCTCTTCCTCCTCCAAACAAAAGGAGCACTGATTAGGCGATTGGATTCCCCGCTGTTGGAGTTGATCGTCCATCAACCAATTGAAGATAATGTACTTTAAGAAGGACAGAGGGAAACCATGCTCTTAAGAACAGTGATGTAGAAGGGGTTTGTGGGTTGGAATGGTTATAGAGCTTGATAAAAGGAGTGTACTGTGAAAACACTAGTGGGTGAAGGTAATTTAAATCAGCAGATCATTTCCTACTCCAGGTAGTAGCAATCCAGTTGGCTCGAGAAAGCAATTCTCGAATCTCAGAGTAGAGAAGGGCTCTTCTGTATCCTGGTGACCAGACCAGGGACACTCAAATTACTTCATTAGCTGAATCTACAGTGACGTCATGGTTGACGGCCATGGAGTAAAGGATCGGAAAGTGTTGCTGAAGACAGGCCTCCTCAATCCACAAATCCTTCCAGAATCTGGTTTTGTGCAACAGATTTTGTGACGAGTCCCGTGGTGTTCACGTGCATGCATGCGTTTGTGTGTATATATATATATATATATATATATATATATATATAGTAGAGAGAGAGAGAGAGAGAGAGAGAGAGAGAGAGAGAGAGAGCGTACGTACGTACGTACGTACGTAGTTGTTAGTGTAGAGTAGAGACGACGACGAACGTAACGTAACCGAACGTCGACTAACGTAACGAAACGTAAA